CCCCAAAACCCCAAAACCCCAAAACCCCAAAACCCCATGAAGTAAAATATCAGAGTGTATGGAGTCATAGATAATTACTGTGCTTATAATAAAAAAAGTAATATTCTGATTTTAAAGTGATAATACAGGCTACATTGCAATATAGTAGAAGCAATTTCATTTGCAGCATCCTCCTTTACCTTGCTTACCTCCAGACTTTCCCCCAGCCATACTATTGCTATTCTGAAGTTTAGTAGGCTATGGCTTTTAAGCTCCAGTTCCTCCAGATGCAGGTTTATTTTAGATCTATAAAAATAAGTATCAATATATTGTGAGATATTATTAGAATGAGTGTCAGTTTGAAGAAATATCATCTTTCAGAGCTTTAAATCATCCACTTTCAGAAGCATCCTTAGATATCTCTGATAGTCATAGTAATTCATTTATCGTATTAGATTCATGAAGTTATCAACAAAGTAACTGCATTCTTTAAACACGATAAATTTTAACTCTGAATTTTCGATGCTACTTCTCTGATAATCTCATATTGAGTTTATACTTACCTCTATTGCTTTTTACTTTTTGTATAGTTTTTATGCAATCTCGAGAAATAACTCACTGATTCCAGTAGCGTCTTTAGCACTAGTCTCCTTTATAATTTCAGCCTTGACCGATCTCGCGAATGATATGGCTTCCTCAAGAGCTACTTCTGCTTCATCAGTCAAGTCACATTTATTTCCTACCATGGCAACTAGTATATCAGGCACATTGGCATTATTGCGGAGGTCCTCGATCCAGTTCTTGGCAGAGTCAAAGCTTTCCCTAAATGTAATATCGTATACGATGATTGCAGCTTCTGCATCTTGATAATACATACGAGTCAGACTTTTGAACTTCTCTTAGCCAGCTGTATCCCACAAATTCAATTTAATTTGATCATTCTCGTTTGGAAGCTGGATCATCTAAGATTTAAAACTTGCTCCTAATGTGGGCAAGTTTGAGCCTTCGAACTTATTCTGGATATATCTTAATAGAATGGAAGTCTTTCCGACACCTGAATCACCCAAGATTACTACCTTTTTTTACATTGACATTATTATTATATAAATAATCTTATAATTATTATTACTTATCTCAGATTTCATATTTTATGGGGTTTTGGGGTTTTGGGGTTTTGGGGTTTTGGGGTTTTGGGGTTTTGGGGT